CTCTCCCAAACACACACACACCAAAGTCTTTTACTGCCTGTCTCTCTAGCCATGTCCCATAGTTGTCTAGTAGCTTTACATTGATATTGACATGCTGGTGGTACGCAGGGACTCCATGCTAATAACATTAGCCAAATAGATCCTGTCACAGCCACTTTGTCACCTGCCATACAACCCCCACCCTCTGACATACAGACATTCTGAAATGAAATGACATAATTGGAAACAAAATTACTAATTTAATGTCTCAAAAAATTGCTTTCTCAGAGGGATATTTCCTGACAATATATTTAGTTAGCGTCCTGCTAAACTTATCAATTAGCATTTGTTTACAGTTTGCATACGGCTAAATTAATACATTTGCCTTTCACCATCTAAAAGTGCACGCTCTTCATTATTTGTAGAACGCCCTCTTCCTGAAATGATTGTTTATTTTGGTTAGGAATAGATTTGGTTAAATAAAAGTAGGAATATGTTTTTGTGTTTATGACAGCTTGTGCTAAAACCACACTATTTCCCAGGTTTTTCCACATAGTGTGCACTATTCATTAAGATTAAGAAATGACAGTATCCTTCCCATTTTTTATCTTTAGACCGTTTATCCTGCCAATGATGCATCATTCAATCAAACTGACTGTAGAGAGTAAAAGGAGAAAGAGAGAAAAACAAAATACACATTCTCTTTTAGAAATCAGATTTTCACCTTAACAAAAATATAAAAAACTAAGATGAACCAAAAAGTGTCACAATGTATACCAGTAAGTTATAAAGTTACTTGCTTTGTGTGTGTATGTGTATCTGTGTGTGTGTATGTGCGTGTGTGTCTGTGTGTCTGTTTGTGAGGGAGACAGAGAGAGTTTTTGTCTTTGTAAAAATGTAACCTGCCAAAGCACAGAAGGTTAAAGGACGGTAACTACTATGTATGCCCCCTCCTTCTTCTCAACATACACATACATGAAAGCAAGCAGCTTTTAAACTTGGTGTGTGCGTGTGTGTGTGACACATCTGGGAGTATAATCAGTGGGCTTCTTTTAAGAGCTGCCAAAGCAAACAGGCCAATAAGGAATCCACTTTACAGACCATCGATCTCCGCTGGCCACAGCCAACACACACACACACACACACACACACACACACACACACACACACACACACACACACACACACACACACACACACACACACACACACACACACACACACACACAGTGGGAGGACCGGTCATATGCACACACAGACACAAATTACAAGAAGAATGGCTAGATGGCTAGATTGATACGTTCTAGAAGTAGAACCAGTGTGTGCAGAGAGGTGCTACTGGTATCATTCCCTCACACACACGCACGCACAAATGTTCATATGGCGCATGTTCAGCTGTCAAGGCCAAATTAAAATCAACAAAAATAATTAACAGAAAAATAACCAAATGTGATGATAGTTTTTTATATAAAACAATATAAACGTTCACAGATTTCTTTTTCAAAAACGAAAAAACCAGATCTGTCAATAAATTCCAATGATCAGAAGAGTTTTTCCAACTCTTTATTTTTTGTGCGAGTGTATCCTCTGCTTGTCTAGATTTCCCTTTATTTCCCCGAGCAGACAGGGGGAAAACACAGAGATACAAACAAATAAACAATGGAAATATTGTTATGGTGAGTCTCTGAATGATTCAGAGTGTCCCGCACCGAGGAGCCATCGGCGCCTAAAACACTTCCAGATGATCCTCAGACAATGGAAGGAGAGAAACACGACTGATACGTCATCCATTTACTTTGGGACGCAGAACAACAATAAATCCTGGAAGGGCAGCACGCACGCACGCACGCACGCACGCACGCACGCACGCACGCACGCACGCACGCACGCACGCACACACACACACACACACACACACACACACACACACACACACACACACACACACACACACACACACACTCTTGCTGCTGGACGCTGGCTAGTTTTGCCCTACACACACACGCACGCACACACACACATACACACACTGTTATGGCTGGAAGCTGGCTAGTGCACGCACGCACACACACACACACACACACACACACACACACACACACACACACACACACACACACACACACACACACACACACACACACACACACACACACCAAAGTAAGTGTGTTTGTTCATGTGTATGTTTAGTAATCTGGAAAAGGAAACTAGATAGATTGAACTGATAGGAAATTGCATATAGTGGAAAGCCAAGACATAATGCAACCCAACAACAGGTTGTTTTCACAGTGCACAGATGCGCGCACACGCACGCACGCACGCACGCACGCACGCACGCACGCACGCACGCACGCACGCACACACACACACACACACACACACACACACACACACACACACACACACACACACACACACACACACACACACACACACACACACACACACACACACACACGCCTGCCAAGTGCAGGAGACAGCCTCCATTGAGAAAACCAACGAGCTGTGCCTCTCCTGAGACTGAAGCACACACACATGCACACTATAACAAAAAGACACACACCAATGCTATCACTGGCAGCATCAAAGTGAAAGCCAGTGGCTGTGACAGAGCTGCCTGCAAACACCATCAGTTAACGCACATTCATGATATTCACTTCCCTTCATAGACACTTCATAGAGTGGAAACGTACTGCTGTGTGTGTGTGTGTGTGTGTGTGTGTGTGTGTGTGTGTGTGTTTCTCCTTGGACCATTGCAGCACACAAGGAAAAACTCCCCAAAGAAACCCAAGAAAAAATAGACCAAGCCTCATGGTACAGTATCATGCTAAAATGATACCGGGGCTTAACTTTATTCTGTGTTTAAAAAAAGAAGAAGACAAATACAAAATCAAACTGATAAAAAGTGTTGACATATATTATCATGATATCATGGACCTTGCATCTTAATTAAGTTTAGTGATATATAAGTAGTAGATTGTTTGTCCATGAAAAGTGCTTGATTAAAATAGCTATTTTGAGGTATAACGTATGCTAATTTTTAAAACTATTGGCTTCAGATCAAAGATTTAAGCCTGGTTTAACAAAAATGCATTTTGTCAGTTTAGTCTGATTATTTTAAAACTAAAATACCTTTTCTATCTATCTCAGTCAACTACAGTAAATATTAAAAAGAAGAATAAGTGAATGATGCATGATGGTTATGTCCTCTGTTTTTCCTTCTGTTTTAAATGCATTTAAATGTCAATTATACTCCATGTACATTTTGATTCCATTTAACTTTATCATACATATCAGTTTACTTGTGGTACTCTTTTGTGTGTGTCTAATATAAAATGATTTAGTTGACACTTAGACTGTCAGGTTTACAAAAATAAACCATTTAGAGTGATGTGACTTCTTCACAGGAAGCTCTGGACAGAAAGAGAGAATGGAGACACGAGACGATAAAAAAGGCCAACAGGGTGAGGTAACTATGTGCAGATGGACCCTGTGTGTGTGTGTGTGTGTGTGTGTGTGTGTATGTGTGTGTGTGTGTGTGTGTGCACGCGCATTTGTGTGTGTGTGCAGGCAGCTGCAGGAAGGATCCCGCTGAGAAAGAGCAGGACGTCTTGTCATCCACAGTGGCCACAACATCAAGACACACTCACGCGCGCATACACATCAAAGAGTGTGTGGCCAGTACTGTTCCAGCACTATGGCGGTGTGGGGAAACAAACAACAGCGCCACACACACATACTAACACACACTCAGACATACACACACAATCTTCTGACTCACTCTCGCAGACCAACACGCTAAAACACATATACAGTATAATCAGTCACATTCATACATACAAAAATACACATTCTCACACACACATATGCATACACACTCACACAGCCCACATAATGGGCCATTTCAGCACCCAGACCACAGCTAATACAGTAAATGACAGGGAAGGACTGGGGGAGAGCCAATCTAAATGTGACACTGATTTTCTGTAGTGTGCATGTGTGTACGAGTGTGTGTTGTGTATGTTGACCGCCCTGACATCATGGCTCTACAGGCTGGGGCCCCAGATGCTGGTGTGGCTGTTGTTTGGTTCACCATCCTGACCTACCATTGGCGTCCACACACACACACACACACACACACACACACACACACACACTCAGTGTATGCAGCTCTGCTGATCTCTCCTCCCTGGCTGCAGGCTGATAACAGACAGTTGGGATCACGGCGAAATTCTCTCTGCAGACCCATTCTCACAGCGTTTATCAACCTTTTTCTTACTCAATATCAAGCCACACTTATTGTTTTTACTTCGGCTGTGACTTTGTGTGTGCTCAGGGTGAGTTTGGCTGTGTTTCGCTGTCGCTAAACAAGGAAACCACACCTCCACGGAGCTCAGCGCGATTCACAACGTCCCGACCAATCAGAGCACACTGTGCTCACAGGGAGGGTGGGGGCTGGAGCTACTGGAGCTACAACGAGCCGTTAAAGGCAGAGAGTGAAATTCAGTGAATTGCACAATATAAATCTATTCTAGTAGACCTCAACAATGGAATTATGATCAGTGGAAATGGCCATGAAATGGGACCTTTAAAATGGGATGGTAAAGTGATTGTGGGATTATAATCCATCAAATCAATCAAATGTTATCTTGCTTCCTGTTTGTCCCACATTGCCTCAAAGTACTAGTATTGGTGTTGTCTTTGCAGGATGCAGTTGTTTTTACTGTAAACATTACTATAAATGAAGGGATATTTTTCTGTTTGAATTTCCATATTACTTCCCCTATATTTTGTTTTATAGCACTATGTATAGACTTACTGTTGATGTATCTTTCTGTACAAGTTTGTTCTGACACGAGAATAAACACAGTCTGCTTTCACTCACACACTTGCATGCTCTATAACCCTCTTTTTGCTGGGGAGGAGGGTCCAACTAGGAGTGTTGTTATTACAAACCATAAATGACAAATCCTAATTATTGTGCCTTTAGTAAATGAAATGTTTTTAATCTTTGTTCTCAGGGTGCGCCTAAACCCGTTGCCATGGAGCCGTGTTCAGGAGGAAAAGCTGCTGTGTTGACCGTCCTCATGCGTCTCCCCTCTGGGCTCTCAGACTTACCTCCTCCAGGACAGTCAGGTAACACACACACACACACACACACACACACACACACACACACACACACACACACACACACACACACACTGACCATGACATTTTACAAAGAAGGTCATAAACCTTTTGCTCAGCCTAGGTTTTGTACTAAAGTGCCATGTTTTTAATCAGAGCATGGTTTTGTTCACCCATAAGTCTGTCCGACTTTCATTAAATGTAATAATTAATAGTCTTAAAATCTTCTATTACCAACATCACAAACAGCCAGCTTGTGCACCTTCCAAAAAACACTTGCCATACAACACATAAAGCACACACAGAAAAATACAATTCTTCACAAATAAATAAAACTACTATGATCTTACTGCTGAAATTGTGCTTCCAATCCCCACCGCTAAAAAAACAAATTTACTCCGGGAAGCTGCAAAACATTCTCCATAAAATTGGGTGTTTGAACTAAGATAGACAAGCCTGTAATATCCATTGATGTGGTGTTTTACTGAACAAAGCAATCTGTTGAAATTGCTGTTTTTCTTATTTGTTTTTTACAACCCCTTTTTTTCTTTCTCCTTCTTTAGGACTCATCGTTGCCAGTGCGTTGATAGACATTTCACAGCAGAAAGCATCAGATTTTAAGGACAAGTCCCATGGTTTAAAGAACAGAAAAGCCCATCATCCATCGCACCAAGGCACCTGTGTCTGAGTCAGAGACATGGCATGGCTACATGTAGAAAATAACAATTGGCTGCTACCACTCGAGTTTTCACTGAAACTTGCAAAGTCCACAAGAGCACAACCCTGCTTACTTTTCCTGCCCTCGGCTCTTGTCTACGTAAATCCACTTTCAGGTCACCTGATCTCCAATCTCTGGAACCAATTAACTCCAACTAGATGGAGCCTAATGTTCTTGTTGAGGGAACCTGCCTGATCAGCGACATCAGAGACAGATTCATCGAGAGGATTCGCTCCCACCGAAGCTTCAGTCGTGACACCTCATCATCCATTTTGCTCAGCATGAGGGAAGGTGTCTGTACATTAGGTCAGATCATCACGACACATTCTGCCTATGGGGGTTTTGTTATTTTTGCTTGCCAACCAGTGGTATTCTATGGTGCTAAAGCATTTAGTTCCTATGCGAATGCCTTTTGCTAAATCACTCTGCCTTTTCGTGGGGACAGCTATACGCTATGCCTCTTTTTAACACCCCCGTGATAGTGTTTTGACAACACCACTTTGCCAATTACCATTAATGATCTGTTTTAGCATTTCCTGTACATAGGTCTCATCCAGCCAGCTGAAGCTAAAGTCTGTATTTTCTGTGTAATACATAATACAAATGCTGCAGAGAGACTGCAAACACTACCAGCAGCACGGAGGGAACACTGCTAACTGGAAGAGGCACGGACAAACTATCAGTCATAGGACAAAAGCATGGAACAACTCGGAAACCATAGGAACAATTAGATGCATTTAATTAGCAAACTGGAATTTTCATTTGTCACAAAATGCCAGATTTGTTTTTTTTCGTGTGTGCTTACTGTTACAAAGAAGTTACATAATGCAAAGACACACCGACGTTCTGGTGGGTCTTTACTGTACTTTGTTATTGTGTCATTTTGCTGTGCAACTTTTTACACTTGGATTGGATTTAGTTAGGTGGGCAGATGCCGTCGAAGAAAAAAGGTGTCTGCTTTAAAAAAAAGAAAAAAGACCAGGGACATCATGTCCCTGGTCTTTTTTCTTTTTTTTAAAGCAGACACCTTTTTTCTTCGACGGCATCTGCCCACCTAACTAAATCCAATCCAAGTGTAAAAAGTTGCANTTTTAAAATTCTGCAGATCAACAGGCCCGCTCCTTCCATGGAAATCCAAGGCATTATAAAAAAAGGTAACTTAACTCCTTGTACTAAAGGAAGGAAATAAAGTCATCGGGGCTCTTAAAAAACTGAGACTGCCAAAGGCACAC